ACCTTTATATTACAGTTAACAAATTAGTGAAAAATTACTCTAGGTACCTTAAATTGTAGGTAATTTAATTGCTGGTCGTCTAGATTTTTGTGGGCAGTAAAAAAAAAAGGAAAAAGCATGTAAATTTGCCACTTACTTGCAATTTGCCAACTTTGCGTCACTTCTTTCGAGTTACTTTTTTTGATATTATTATTCTGCACACCCTTCCCCGTCATAAAGTGCTCTAAAATGTATACTAATAATTTTTTTTAGTTTTCAAGCTATATGGTCTAATTCGACTGAGGTACTTACTTACAATTTTCAATATATTTGTCATATTTAATTTCTATTTCTTTAATTATAAGGTAGTTGCAATTGGGCAAAATCGATCCAGAATAACCTCAACATATGTCGCTATTGAAATACATTTAAACATCAGTACAAAACCTCAAAGTAATGTGATCAGAGTATCTGATCTGCACCAAGCTCTAATCTTCTTTATATGCCTTAAAGAATAAATTATTATTTATTCTTGTGCTCATACTATGCTACGCTCACTCATCATTCTGCAATCATATTCTACGTCAATGAAATATAAAAATAATTTACTGGGTCAGTAGTGATTAGGTCAATTAACCAGGGCAGTGCTCTTGCAAAATTTGGTTATGCTTGTAATTGGGAAGATGTTCTAGACCGTCGACATACGTGCATACATACAGAGTGTTTGAAAGTGAAAATACATATATTTAAAAAATCTCCAAAAGATAATGATTAAAACCAGAATTATTATTAATTGTATATTTTAGAAACGGTTAAATATTTGAAAATTAAATTTTAAGAAAAGTTCCCATTCCAACTGAACAAAATTTGTGTCTAGCACAGATTGGCAATATCTTTCAAATTTTTACAGAAACTTTTTATATATGATAATTTTGAAAATTGAAAAATATATAAAATTGAATATGTATTTAAAATTAAATAAATAATCATTCTCAATTAGTTATTATCTACTATTTATTCAAAATAATTAATTGTATTTGATATGGATATAAGGTACACTACCTTATTTTAATAGTCAGAAGCAATACAGGGTGATTTCACTTTAAATACATAAACTGCAGGATTAGATTCATTACCAAAAAATAAGTAGAATTTGCTCTATAAACTTTTTTCCTGCGCGTCCCGGTTTTCGAAATACAGGGTGTCAAAGTTTACAAAAAAAATAATATTTTTTCTGCTATATCGTCATAATGTGCTGACGGAATTGAAAGCGTATTCACTTAATTAGACCTTTTACTGAATGTAATATCAACATTGTGGCTTTAACCAGTCAGTGGCGTGCTACTGGAGGTGTCGACCCATCTTCTCAAGAAAAAAATACGCCACTGACGTTTTTTTTATAGAAATTGTTACATTCAGGTACTGTTACGTTAAATGAATGAAAAATGTTTTGTGTTGGTTTTTAATAGTAGCAGCCGTTTGGGAGATATTTGGGTTTTTTACGTTTTATTGAATTTTCCTAATAAATTAATCCGTTTATTTGATGAAAAACTACTGATTTTAACCAGTCACTAAAGCGCCCTCCAACTTTTCCCAAGAAGAGGATACGCCACTGGCGGTTTTTTTGTAGATATAATTTTATTTCTGGAAAAGATATGAAACTAGATAATAAAATAACATTAGCAAATAGTAATTAAGTAACGAGTCCTACAATAATTGTTTAAAAGGAAATCCTTCCGCATCCATACACTTTTGACACTTCTAAACAGGAACTTATCATGGCATGATTGTCCCTGAGGAGATTATAATTTTCCTCCCAATTAATTTAACATTTATTTCTACAAAAAAAAAAAACACCAGTGGCGTATTTTTTTCTAGGGAAAACGGAGCGGCACCTCCAATAGCACACCACTGGTTAATGCCACGAAGTTAATTCAATAAAAGGTCTAATTAAGTGAATATGCTGTAGTAAATTTCATTTAAATCGTTCAGCGCATTATGAAGACAGGCAGAAAATATATTTTTTTGAAAACTTTAACACCCTGTATCTCGAATACCACGTTCCACAGGAAAAAAGTTTATAGAGCAAACTCTAATTTTTTGGCAACTATTCCTGCAATTTCTGTGTTTAAAGTGAAATCACCCTGTATATTCTAAGAGAATTTGTGAAAATTCATTGACATGCATTATATCGAAATATTTCTGATGAATTGATTTTCTTAAATATCACTCTGCCAATCGTTTATGCTTGAAAAATTACGCCAACTTAAGGATTAAGGTACCTACACATAAGGATGGATGGATGGATGGTTTCCTATTTTCGTCAAATTTGACTTGACATTATTTTTGAAGAAAATGTCAAAAGTGCTGTTGTGTGACCACAGACCTGTAGTTTATTAGGTCTATGTGTGTGACAAACTTGGAAAGAGGGATCACCTGAAATATAAAGAGATATCTTAATGAACATGGGTCCGCAAATGAACGGTTTCGGGGAAACGGAGAATTATTCCTTTTTGTAGCATTTATACATTTATTATAAACAAACCTCTCAATAATTGTTTATTTATGTCATCTCTTAAAGTTTTTTAACGTTAAGTTTTTTTAACCAAATTTTGGCCATATAATTTCTAAGAAACGGAAAACTGTTGAAATATCTGAAAATGTACCATTTTTGAGAAAGGCGCCAATACCTGTTCCAAAGTCAATTAGCTACTGTTCTTTAATATACACCTTATCCGGGAATAGATGGTCACTTCAAGGATAACTTCATGGAATGAAAATAAACCGATTTAGATTGTTACCCTAATACAGTCTTGCTTAAAGAGTTGTAGGCGATAAAACAAATTTTAATACTTACTTCATCTAATCTTGTTTATTTTCATCCAATGAAGCTACCCTTAAAGTATGGCTTATTCATTTCCAAACACTCTGTATATTACGATGTAGACGTTGGTTGACTGAGACAGATAATTGCATTTTTCTCAAAAACGATACGTTTTCAGTTTATGTAAAATATAATTTTATATTGTAATATACCTACGACATAAACCGTGCGAAACCTATCTCAAAAATTATTTAACTTAACAGTCTGCAGGGATTGACAGATAAAACTGCCAAATTGTTAGTCAAACGAACACACTAGAGGATTTGACCCATATTATACTCAAATTAATAATGTAAGAAAGGTTAAAGGTCAAGGTAAAAATAAAATAAATATAACTGATTTTTATTTATTTAAATTATTAAAAGCAAGTTCAGATATAGGTATTTACTTTTGCTTCATCTTGAATTTAAGTATATCGGATGTCCCAAAATTCGAACAAGGTTTGAATTTTCAACACAAAACATCGAAGCAGTTCGTGAGAGTGTTGCTGAGAAGGGACATCAAGTCGGCACCGTGGTCAAGAATTGGACAAGAAGCTCTCTACAGCGTATTCCCACTAAAGATATGCATCTTCACATTTACAAAGTTCAATTGACTCAAGAGGTGAAGCCTATACTGACTACGCAGAGCGAAGAAAATTCGATAAATAGAACAATAAGTGGATGCTGATCATCTTCAACGGTGAGGCTCATTTTCATCTTGAAGGCTCCTTTAATCGACACAATTGTCACATTTGGGGTTTAGAAAATCCACTAGTGGTTGTTGAGAAAGAAATTCATAACGTGTCACTCTTTGGTGCGGATTTTGGGCTGGAGGCGTCATCGGACCATTTTTCCTCGAAAATGCGTCTAGTCAGTAAATTACAGTCAATAGTGCTCGCTATCGTAACATGATAATCCAGTTTTTTGTGCTTAAATGGCAAGATATGGATGTATACATGTGGTGATCCAAATTGGCCTTCCAAATCATGCAATTTATTGTCGTTGAACGTTGAACCTTTTTATTTGGGGTTTACTGAAGTCTAAGATTTATGTCAACAAGGCTACGACTATCCAAGCCTTGAAGGAGAAAATTGAGCGCTGTAATAACGAAATTCAGCCGCATTTATACAAAACGGTCATGGAAAATTTCAACAAAAGAATACGTATGTGCCAGCAAAGCCTTGGAGGCCATTTACCCCATATGCTATTTCATATATGACGCTATACCATGAATCAATAAAAAAAAATACAATTTTTAATTAAAACCCTGTGTTTTCTATCAAAATTACTTCTTACGTAAATTTTGGGATACCTTTTAAATTTAAATTTGCCTACAAAATATTATACTGAGAAAGTAGATACTTGTTCATTACTACACTGTTTTCTTTCTCAAAACTCTAATCAATTTATTGTGCTTTATGTTCTGTATGACTGTTTATTTTAAAAGTTTTGCGATAATAATATAAAAAAGCTGCTAGAAGTAAGAAATATCTACCCATTTTCTTCAATCGAGTTATTATAGGTAGGTACACACTGTCTTAAATTATTTATTTGCTGCACAATTTTAGATTTTTACAATTATGTAGGTATTTCGTTATTTATGAAAAAAATAAATACATATTAACGTACTACCAAACGATATACTTAAATGTTTCTGGTTTTTTTATTTATATAGGTATGCTTTTTTGGTGTGAGACAGAAATAATCCCAGAAAAATAACCCTTGACCGATTTTTTGATTCGAGGATTAAATTTATTAATTAAAAAAAATTAAATGTCGAAAAATTCTCATATACATAGAGAACAAGTTATACGTATCTTTTTATTTACTTTATTTACTAATTACATTGTAGAAATAAAATTGTGCCGTATTTCGATTTAAGTAATAATTAGAACAAGATAAAGTGAATATGTTACATTACGTAGAAAATTTAGCAAGGGGACGCATAATAGTAGAATATTAATACTTATTTGGTGACCTAATACAAAAATAACTGCACGGCACTAGCAGGATATACTACAAAACCAAGTACAGAAAAATATTGTACGCATCATTAATATTTATTTTTATCTGAACTTTCGATTGCTTTGCTATTAAAAGCAAAGCACCGAATGGAAGTTAATCATTCGGTAGTCTACTTTTGTTCGGAATACACAATGACTTTTAGAGTGTGCTTAGCTTTAAGTTTTATTTTTTTAGCCGGTGCTACGCCACTAAAGCCTGCATTTTGGAAAGGAACTCCTTTGGATTCAGTGGTAGAAAGGATGAGGTCTTCTTGTGAAGAAGATGATTCTATTGCTTGCTTCCAGTATAAGGCTTTTTCATTTTTGGATACTATACTCCAGAGGGATCAGTTTCATGTAATAATTTGCAAAATTAAATAATCGTAAAGAGGTTTAATAACTTTTTTCTTTTGTTTCTTGATTACAGTTGACTGAAAATATAGAGGTGACTCGTAACAATTATCGTTCTAATGAAATACTTGGAAGATCAGACAATTCTCTCGAAGAAGCATTGGAGGAATTTATTAAAAGCCATAATGTTAAAATTAGTTTACCAGCAATTGGCGATTTGACACTTGATTCAAGAGGTTTGGATAATGAAGAAATCGATTTGAAACTGAATTTTAATTCTGGAAGAGCTGTTGAAGGTAATAAGTCATTAATTACATTTATCATTAAACATATATACTCATAAAATAACAAGTAAATTCAATAAAACTGTTTTGTTTTTGGAAAAACTTTTGAACACGTCAATTGAATTTCAATTTAAAAGTACAAATACGTGATCGCTTTTGTCTATTTTTTTTTCGAATAACTTCCTGTTTTCTTCCAATTTTTTTTATTCGTATCTAAAAATGTATCTGACTTTTTCGGATTTTACTAAAGATGCCTTATAAATGTGCAAGGTATCTATTAAAAAAATTAGTAATGGAATAAATTTCGTTTCTAATTTAATTGCCATCTAATACAGAACCCAATTTATTAATTAAACTTAACTACCGTGATCGATGTCTTAATTTTTTAAAGCGAATAGATAAAAATATTCTGAAGAAAAATGTCCAGTATATATTTTCATCGAAAAGCTCTTTAAGGTAGCTTTTCGAAAGTAACGACCATTTATCATTTTACAAAATCATTGATGACTTCATAGTATTTACATGTAAAGTGCTCAAGAGAGAAAACATTTACCTTTTAGACCAAAAAATTAGTCTTGATAAAATAATTTCCCTAGTTTTTAATATAAGATTGCCAACTAGAATACTTTTAGGTTTACATATACAGTGCATTCTAGAAATGAAAAAAATTGAAGATGATGCCAGAGTAAATTGTCCTTATTTTTATCTGCATAAAAAGTAATACTATTAATGAAAGCAGTTTAAAATTAAAGTTTTTTTCTGGTTTAGTTTGTAAATATTTTGATTTTTTTCACAACTTGTAAATACTCAGATCATCTTCTGACCGATAATTTTGGATTATATTATATTGCACTGCAGAGAAATGACGAATCAAGTATAATCGTTTTGTCTCATACTAATTAACTTTTTTATTTTTCTTGAACTTTTAATTTTACACAGTGTCTTTTTTATTTCCAAACAATTATTGATTTAACTGTAAATTAAAATTTTCACTGGACATACAAACTTAAAATTCTCCATTTACTATAAAAACAACGAAAAATTATTCAGAGCTGCTTTTTCCGTGAAACGAAAAATAAAAATATTTTCTTCCTTGTCCACTCTCTCCACAGATATTGGTATACTGCGTTATATAAAAATTGTACGTTAAAAATAAAAATTGACGTGTTTGGAGTGTTTTTTCTAAAAATAAACTACTTAATTTTTGATCGAAATTATCTATTACTTTTCGAAAGTCCTGTAGGTATATTTAAAAAAAAACTACTTAATTTTGACTGTTAATATTTTTGCACATCCTTAAAAACTCTGACGTAAAAATATTGTCATTGCCTGCTCATTAGTAAGTTCCACTAAAACCGCTGTATCTATTAGGTATGTATTCCATTGCGTCACAAGCAATATTCTTATGAACTAAGGCAAAAAATCCTAGTCAAATTAGTCACTATTTTCATATAATTGAAATGTCTTGATCTGGATATCTCATCAAATTTTAACACGTATTACTAATTATGAAATTTCGACGCTCAAAACAACTGTCAAATTTTTAACCTGAGTGTCTGCTCTGCTTTGTTTTAACTGCAGCAGTCAAACTACAGTCTCAAATTAATACCCAACAAACGTTCACCATTTTCTTTCACTCTAATACACATAAAATATTGGAACGATTGTCTGTGATAGATTGAGACTATGAAGACATTTATACCATAATTGTATCTTTTTTTGGTGCGTTTCACGTAACCAACGATTGTCTTTGATATTAGGACACACTCGTGACGTAATGACAATCTTAAAACGGTTCTAGTGTAAATCAATTCGTCAACCTCACCTTTTCTTTTAACTCATCTGTGTGGAAGAAAACAGTATGTAGAACTCATAGGACTGACATCCGTTGAAATATCGGCAGTTCTGGAGTTCTTCAAGATGGACCCTTTTTTTGTTTATAATTTTTTATTGACACTCTTGTTGATCTGGGTGTGCACTGTTCGCTATTTGCAGATTATACGAAACAATATTGGCAAATAGAGTCAATAAGTTAGAATTTAGAATAACTTGTATGAAATCCAAGAATTATATTTCAGCAACAAACTTCCGCCAAATATTAATTGTTATCATCGAAGGAATCATTGCCTTTAAATTAGACTGTAAACTAAACAGAACAACTCTCGCTCGTCCCGGATACTTTTGTGCTCCGAGTGTGACCTTTGATCATAAATTAACATTTGCCGAACATGTTAAAAAGATAGTACGGCTTCTAAAAATCTAGGGTTTGTTATAAAAAACACAAGGCTTTGCTCAGTAACATTTTTCATTTAGCCTGTTTAGCTCTTATAAAATCTAAAGTCGGATATACTAGTTAAATTTGCTAGAGAGGATTTGTAAAGTTTCTTCTCACAAGGTTTTTATTACTTATTTTAATGAATAAGTAACAATCTATGTCATTTTGTATTGTATATTCATCAGGTATTTAGAATTGAAGCAATTAAAGGTCTAGCAATACATTACATCTTCCAAACTCAGATACTAACTTTTTAAAATAATCTTTAATTTTTATTCTGTATCTTACCAATTACGATAATTTGCAGGATGACATTGACATATTTTCTTGTACTGAAATTTATTTACTTTGTGTTGCTTGTATTTATTATCATTGTGACATTTTATAACAATGTATTGTCTTATCAACCTGCCTTTGGCTATTGGTTAATGCATCAAATAAATAAATAATAATAAGGTAATATATTTATATATAACAATACTTAATTTTGTAATGATTTTAGAAATTTTACTTAATTATTTTTAAATATAGACACCAGTAAAAAAAATGGTGTCAAATAGTGATTTTGAATGAATTTCCGTTTTGTTATTTTCTCCTATAAAGTAAATTATAAAATATTTACTGTTTGTATTTCCAGCTCGCAAGAAATCCAAGTTGAAGAAGATTTTTATTCCAATTTTGGTATTCATCCTGCTTAAAGCCATAACTTTAGTACCTTTTGCCATTGGTGTTCTTGGACTAAAAGCATGGAATGGTCTTCAGCTTGCATTCTTTTCCTTTATAATCTCTACAGGCTTAGCCATTTTCCAAATGTGTCAGAAACTTGCTGCAGATAGCGCCCACGCCCACATAGCTGCCGCACCCGCAGGATGGGAAGCTGTGGCTGCTAGAAATTTCAACGAGGACGCTAATAAAATGGCATATTCTGCATATGTTAATTAGGTAGAATAATGCGATTATTTATTTTATATTTATTTTGTAAATAAACTTTAAACAATAAGTGTAGTTTATCACTTATTCACAATGACGAAATTTTTTAAGAAAATGAAAAAAATTTAGTGAAACATTAGATGGCTGCTAATATCTATAAAAATATCTAGTGTATAGAAATTATATTAATGAAAACAAATAACAACATTGTAAAAATATTTTCTTTCAGTCAATTTTAAATAAGTTTTAAATAAGCTATTACTTACTAGATATTAGATATGAAATATTGAATTTAATTATGCGATTTGTAGCATCATAATCTATATAACCTCATTTTAAGCTCCCATTCTCATAGAAACATGGAGTGATCGACTAGCGTTTCAAGATTCACGTTGTAATGGCATAGAGTCCAAAGATTTACATCAGCTTTATAGTAGCGATCCGGATTTTTGAGTCAACGACTCTGACACAAGTGTTAACATTTGGCGATTAATTGTTAGCTGTAGTTTAGCGACAAATTATTATACATTACAAGTTCTTACCTGTAAAATATCGGAATTAAAAAACAAAGAAAACCTGAGCCATGTCGATTTTCGTTTCAAAGGGGGCACATGATGACGTAAGTTTTAGTGTGTTGGAAGCTACCCCTCATTCAGAGGCGTAAAAAATCTTACACTTTAAATGTCACCCTATCTTGAGTAACACCTCAACAACATTTTTAATTTGTTTTGATTTTTCGTTTATATGTCAATACAAAAACTTCATACTCTATCAGCTCAACTTTTTTACCTGTTTTACTTTAAACGAGACAAGATTGTCACATCTTGTCTTGTCAAGACAATATCCTGTAAAATAATAACAAAGTAGATTGAATTCCAATTCGTGAAAATGGTTTATACAATTGCTGAAAAATAGGAAATAATTAGCTTGTTCTACAAGAATAATGACTGCACGATTTTTAGTGATCGCATCGGTACATTCTGGACCTAGTACATAAATTTTCGGAAAGTGGATCGGTTGCAAACAGAAAGCATCAACGTGAACAGGTCGTACGTAATGAGGGTAATCAGGTAGCTGTCCTGAGTCATATTGCAATGGAACTAAATTTGAGTCTCAGGAAACTTGCAAGTACTTCAGGAATTTCGGTACCTAGTTGCTGCCATATGTTAAAAATTCATAACTGTCACCCATACAAAATTAATTTGGTATAAGAAATTAATGAAGACGCTCCTAATCGCTGCTTGCAGTTCTATGAAGAAACGAGTGATCGTGCTCGAAGGAATCTAAATTTTTTATACTCATTCTGTTTTCCGATGAATGTACGTTCCCACTGGATGGTCGAGTCAACCGCCATAGTGGCCGCTACTGGAGTGAAAATCCACGCATTTTTCATGAAACTAATACGCAGCATCCGAGGAAATTGAATGTTTGGGTAGGCATACTGGGAGACCACCTCATAGGGTCCTATCGGGAAATCTGGATGGAAACATGTATCTGAATTTACTGGAAACGAATATCTACCCGAAGATTGTGGAAGAATTGGAAAATTACGCTTTGCCAGAGAAGGATGTGTAGTTTCAGCAGGATGATGCTCCACCACATTATGCCGTAGCTGTGCGTGATTTTCTTAATCAGAACTGAATAGAACGCAGAGGTTCAGTTGAGTGGCTTCCCAGATCGCTAGATCTAACGCCCTTAGACTTTTCTCTATGGGGACAATTAGAGTCGAAAATTTATGCGACACGACCGAACTCGCTTGAGCAGCTTCGTAGGCGAATTGTTGACGAATGGCTTCGAAATGTTAGTTCGGAAGTGGAGCAAATATTTTATTATTGTATGGAAGCGGAGGGAAATCAATTTGCACATTTAATAAAATAACATTTTTTCATTCATTTTTTTTATCATTTCATATTTCATTTTATTTTTTAAGTGATGATTTTATTGCCATATCCAAACTAACATTAAAAAAGTCATATGTTTTCATGGGCAGAATTGAAAAAGCTTAAAAATGAGGTGTCACTCAACATTCTCTCAGCCTCTTAAAATTTAAGTTTTTTTTACACTTCTGCTTAAGGGGTAGCTTCCAAGATACTAAAACTTACGCCATCACGTGTCCCCCTTGAAAAGAAAATCGACGTGTCTTATTTTTTTTTTTTGTTTTTTGTTTTAATTCCGATATTTTCCAGGAGGGAAGTTTTAATATGAATATCCTGTATATTAAAGACGCTGGGGTACAGCTTCATTGATGTGTGTTGACTAAGATATGGAAATCGGCAATAGAAAATTAATTGCTGCACGCACTAGGTACTTATACAACATGTGCACTAAAACCCTTTTAGCTGCAGGACAGTGGCAGTAAACGGTCGACATACATGCATGCGAACTGAGACAAATTCGGGTTTATACCAGAAATACTTAAGTGAGGCCACAGTTACACTAAGTGAGTCCTAATTTCCTACAAATAAGAGTTCACTACTCCTGACTGCAGGAATAAATTCTAATAAAATACATACCCGAGCAAAACAACTCACTTAAGACGGGTTGACAACTGAATAAAATATAATGGGCTCATTCAGCATTTTTTTATTTTTTTTGCTTAATGGATAGATATTGCATTTTTAAAGTTCTCTGCAAAAAATTAGAATTTTATATTGCCTATAACTCATCCAAAAGAAATTGTAAACTGACGCCCCGAGTATCCGCTGAACCGATGCGCGGCGGGTGTGACGTCACCGCATGGGAAACCGATGTCGTATGCTTGCGTGTGTTGTCAGTGAGTCGCGTAGTCGGGTTTTAGTTGCCTGTTAAGTTTCGATTGAGTACGTTAAGATACCGAATTTTGTTAGCAATATGGAAGACATAGAACAGAAAAAAATTACTAATATTGTATTGTTCCCCAGTGTGAGAGTACTAGTGTGAAGACGCCTAAGAAAATAATAATGTCCCCGTATTTCTGTCGTGCGGTTTTAAAATCAGTGGTCTATTAGTCTCTACTTTAATTTGTTTTTTTAATATCTTTTATTTGACTTATTTTGAAAGCAACAAAACTACCCTGCGTAATTTAGGTATGTAATAAATACGTTTGTAGGTATCCTGTAGAAACACTATTCACTTGTGTTTTCCATTGTTTTTTTGTGAATATTATACAAATACTAGGTACTAAGTATTTATATAAAAATACATAATAAATATTATATTATTAATATATTTATAAGATATTAGGTAGATTTTATGTAGTTTCCATGGGAATAAAAATAGTAATAAGAATTTTGTATTTGATTAGATAAACTTTTGAAACCTGTGAAAGAAACGGTTTCGTCCAATTAAATCCTTATTTAGTATTCTTATTGTACAAAAACATCAAAACTTTCGCTACAAACGTACTTTAAAGAAGCTTTACGTGTTATTGAAACGTAACCTTTNAAATTTTCCGCAGCTTTTCCAAAGCCCTATTTTCTTTAGTCCTTAGTAGGACTTATGCCAATGTTTTTTATGAGCTTTTCGAATATAATAATGTCATATTTCTAATTGGCATTAATGAGAAATTGGTAGACAAATAAAGATGTTTTTCCACATTTTCTTACAAAGTTTTCAATATTTAGGTCTCTTGCGACACTTATGCCAAAAAAATTTCGTGATAAAATCGATACTTCTCTTCGACTTACGAACATGGCATAAGTGAGAAATACGTCGCTGTACACATTATTTTTTTGAATAGGAAAATTGAATTTTCATGAAGGTGTCCCGCAGCCCATCTTTTAAATTTAGTTTATTGAACTTGTCTCTCGGTTACCTTTCAGTACTCTCAGAGGCATAAACGAGAAAGACGTCGTCGAACTTCAGTCTAATATCTCCCGGTCTATTGTCTTGATAGTGGCGATGCTTCCGTGTCTCCTTGTATTACATTATATTACATGGGAATTGAGCCTACAATTTATGTAAATGTAAATATAAAGGGTGTTTCATTTAAAACAGGGAAGCTTATTGTTGTAGATTTGAACATTTTTTATATATATATTTTTTTAAGAAATATAAAAATGGATACAAATAACTTAATGTGTTCGTCCTTGGTAGACGAATTTTTCAGGTACCTTCCTAATTCTAATAATAAAAATTTATTCATGTTTGTAGTATGTTCTATATTTGATTTTCACAATTGTTTGAAATAAATAACAATAAATAACAACATATACCCCACAGGAACTATGATGGAGCGTAATTGGAGTACGCCATTTGCTGAGCTGCATCAGATCTATCATGATGGTATGGGTCCCAAGCGTTGTGAATGATGGCAGGTGGATGGTCATGATTAACTTTGGAACACAACTTCCAAATTGCCAAAACTAGCGCAGATACAAATGAAATAAAGGACAGTTGAATAGCGTTCCAGGTTTTAATTCCAAGTATACCTAAAGCTAGTGGCACAAGGACCATTGCTTTAAGAAGGATGAACACCAATATGGGAACAAAAACTTTCTTAATCTTGGATTTTTTGCGAGCTAAAAAATACAAAATGAAAAGTCACTTTTTGTTAAAAAAATTTGCTTGTGTTGAAATGTATTAAATTAAATGAATGTATATTAAATGTAAATGTGTATTTGTATACAGGGTGTCCGGGAAAATGTGGGAAATCTCTCGAGTGCAGATAGAACATGAAAAAATAAGATGACAAGTTCCTATACAAATTTTTCGTACAGATATTGTGTCCCTGAAGGACGCCGCTCGAAATCGGTTTTTCTTGAATAACTTAATATAATTTAATAAAAATTTTATGTGATAGACACTAGTAAGGACCTCTTAAAATAGTGTCCTTGAAACATGTTTAGCTTTTTTAGTTTACCAGGCGCGGGTTAAGCTTTACAACTTAGTGCCTACATTTTTAACACCCTGTATGATAAAGACTTTAAAATAATAAACCTGGATAGCTTCAACCTTAGACTAAAAAAGGTATTTTTGTTTATTGTCGATAAAATAAACCGTTTAGGAGAAAAAGAATAATAATCGAATTCATGTTTTATTTTGATGATCAAAATTGGCAAAAGCTCACGACCACCTACGTCTTGAAGGGGGAAATTGGGCGCTGTATCAACGAAATTCAGCAGCATTTATTCAAAGCGATCATGGAAAATTTCGACAAATGAGTGTGTATGTACCACTAAAGCCGTGGAAGCCATTTACCCGATATGCTATTCCATAAATAACCCTATTATACTTTACGAATCAGTAAAAAACTTTTAATTAAAAACCTCTGTTTGCGTGAATTGTGGACACCCTATGATTTTATTGTTAATATTGCTATTCATATTTTCTAATCTTTTTTTTACAAAACAGTAAGTCTTGAACACAGATATATTGTTTAATTTTAGAAAAGTAATCGTCAATTATCAGTACAAAATTTTTAATTAAAGCTTCTATTTGTACCTTTTATCGAGAAAACTTCACACAAATTTCTACAAAAATTTTTCGTTTGTGTGACAACGGCTTCGTTTTGTTTATTTGAAGTCAATATCATAATATTAGGGATGTGTTCCTTGGATCATTTTAGACCTAAAAATCGTGTCTTAGTGACCTAGATTTGCTTTATTTAACTGCTCGGAGATATTAAAGTTGTATCCAAAAATTTTAGTTTTTTAAATTAAACACTTTCTCAGATGTATGATATATCAGTATTTATGTATAGTTGTTACTTTTTGACATAGTAACCGAAATAATTGCTATAACTTGTCCCTCGCAATTTCATTGTATTTCTAATAGTTATCTTGTAATTAATTATTTTATTAGTCATTAAAAACGAGGTTTTGATATAAATCTCATTATAAATTGTAAAAAAATTGACATATTTCGTAATAAAAACTAAATCATAGTTCATGGAGCAAAGAGACTTATAATGAAATGGTTTTTTCTCGAAAATAAGAGTAAATAGTATACATTTTCAGTAACACAATGAAGAAAAAAAAATTTTGCATTTATTTCAGTTTCCATTTTTCTGCAATTCATCCATTTAATACTCTTCAAATAAAATAACCACAGAGATTCAAATTTGATAGTAACAATTTAAATAATTTAATTTCAAATAAATTTCATGTAAGTATAATCGATCACAACTTTTTGTACTTCACGAATTATTATTTTATATTTAGATAAATCAAGTCGTTAATGACAATTAAATCATGTTTGTATTGATAATGATGATGACCAATTAATTACGCGAAAACCGTTAAGAATACAAAAAGTTTGAAAGAGAGAAAAAAAACTTGAAAATGCCTCTACCTTTGTGAGGAACTGAAGTTGTAAGGTCGCCAGAAAAAAATATGTTCGTATTTGTTTAGGGGTGGAAATATTTTCCCATTCATTCCCCTTCAAATAGTAACATCTACACAAATACCCGAATACCATATTATGTTTAAATCAGACAAAGCGTGTTGGAATTATTCGAAAAAATAATTGCCAACTTTGACACTGTAGTCGTTAAATAAAGTAATTTTGAATAGAGATAAGTTTAATAATTAAATTATTTTATTTACACTAAGAATCTGGTACACAGAATATTTAGACACAAAATATTAAAAATACCTAAAACTACCATTGTGCCAGGTCAGGTTTTACAGTGGACCAGTTTCCTGTACCGTGCAGAAGTGTACTTTTAAATTATTTTTGAACTGCCCTTTTTGATTTTTTCTTTACAAAATTGTATTTGTAAGAGTCCCCTGTACATCCAGAATTTTTATTTTGAATAAGCTGTGAATCACCCTGTATAAATTTAGTGATATTTTTTAATTAGTTAAAGCACTAGTTTAAGTTTTATAAATTTACGTAAAACATCATCAGATATAGGCACTTGAAAAATTGTTATATATTTTTTTTGTAATTTCAACGCGCTCTATTTTGGAAACATAAAATTTTTTGGTTTAAAATGATCCCAAAAATATTCCCGAGAACAATACCCTGTAAATTTTGCCAAAGATAAAATTTTGAATTTTGAGGTGATTAAATTGCTGAGTTGCAATTTTTTATTTAAGCATTTTATTATGTATTTAAACACCAATAAATAATAATAATAATAATAATAATATATAGTCGGTTTTGTCGATTTAATAAGACGCCATTTTAAATTTGCTGAATGTTATTTTCTTAAATATTTTGAAATAAGAAAAATAATTTGGTTGATTTGTATTTTATTTTACATCTCTTAGGTGGCATATTTTGCGATAGGTTAATGTAACTTGCGATGAACAAGAAAAAATTATTGATTTCAACATTTTGACAAACACTTTAAATAGTAATTGCCAATTTTAAAAGAGACATTAGATAAACCTCAAAGTAACGCAGGACAAAGTTCGCTTTTCCGCTGCTATTTGGTAATCAAATAACAAGTTGTGATAGATACATTACTGAATAGAGTATTTGAGAGCTATTTAGTTTATAACTAAGAAGAGTGGTTGTGATTTATAAGACGGAAAACTGGAAATTTGTCTTTTTATGTGAACATATCGGGTGTCCCAAAAATCACGCAAGATTTGAATTTTGCGCCATTTATGCAGTAAAGTGTTGCCAACGAAAATAAAAAGACAGTGCGACAGCTGACAGTTCAGGGTTAATAAAATTGGAGCGCCACATGAAAGAACAACGCGTTTTCATTGTTGAGCAATATTTTAAGAATAGTGAAGGTTTGGAAGCTACCATTCGCAAGTTTCGTACAAAATATGGTCGGAATAGTGATTTAACTTTATCAACAAAACATCGAATCAGTTCGTGGGAGTGTTGCTGAGAGTCTAGGAACTTCAATTCGGTACCGTGGTCAAGAATTGGACATTTCGAGAAGTTCTCTACAGTGTATTTTCACGAAAGATTTATATCTTCATGCTTATAAAGTTCTGACACCTACTGATCACGCAGAGTGAAGAGAGTTTGTTGAATTGATTATGGAACAAGTGGATGTTGATTTTTCGAACTAAATCATCTTCAGTGATGAGGCTCATTTTAATTTTAATGGCTTTGTTAATCAACAAAATTGTCGCATTTGTGGTTCAGAAAATCCACGAGTGATTGTTGAGAAACAAATGCATCTACAGCCTGTCACTGTTTAGTGCGGAATTTGGGCTGGAGGCATCATCTTCTTCGAATATGGGACGAAATTGAGCGTTATATCAACGAAATTCAACCGCATTTATGCAAAAAGGTCATGGAGAATTTCAACAAAAGAGTGTATATGTGCCAACAAAGCCATGTAGGTCATTTACCCGATATGCTATTCCAAACATAGTAATATAATGAATCAATAAAAAAATTCACAATTTTTAATTAAAAACCTGTGTCTTCTATCAAAATTATTTCTTGTGTGAATTTTGGGACACTCGCTATACCTTTAAGATCTATTAGACACTTCAAAATTAAGTTTTCGATGTTAACAAAACACTCTGTATATATTATGATATTGTTTATAACTAACCTTCAACATCACCGGAACTGCCGAAATCAAATTTCAAATTTAATTCGTCGCTATCTAATTTCCTTGCATCCAAGAGAATAGTAGAATCAATGATAGGAACTTTAAAGGAAAAGTTAGACGTTTTTAGATAGTCCTCTATGTTATCTTCCAGAGAACTGACATTTTCAGTAAAGTCGTTACCCGTTGTTTTAGCATCTTCCAACTGAAATTAATTAATAGCATGTTATTAGGAAATCTATACATATATTTTAAAGATAAGAAAATTTATTTACCTGTTTCAGTTCTGAAGAAAGATCTTCGTACTTAATTTTTGGGGAGGCAAGCGCTGTTGCAAACATAAGAAATAAAATTGAATGTCGCATGGTAATGTGTGGTTCTTATGAGAAATAAATAATTAGTGATTTAAATTTAATAAGAGGGCACATTATTTATACTCCTATAAAGTACGTGACGCGACGTGACCAGTTATTTGATTAGAAAGTGAAAAACGAATTCATACTTATAGCAGCCATGAATAATTAATGCGTGCATCCTGAAGTTAGTAGCACAAGTTGTAGACATATTTGCAACTAATTTGGAGAATAACTGTGAACAAAATAGGACAAAGGAACTATTGAAAGCTAAACAAATATTGTTTAGCTTTTCTAGTTAAAGACAAATAGGAATAAAAGAAAATTGTCCAAAAGATCTTGATCTTGAATTTGAGTAATAAATTGAATATGTTACGAAGCTGCATGAAGAGGGAGAATGGTCATGGTAACAATTTGCAGAATGTCATTTTTCAAGAGTTACATTTTGCAACTATGTTTCATAAAACAACACTTAATTTCTTGTAATTCTCTAGTAAGGTCAAACTGAAAAAGTAATTTTGATAGAAATTGTAGATTTTTTATTGATCCGTAAAATATACAGTATAAAGTTGTATATCGAAGAGCATAAATGGCCACCACGGTTTTGCTGGCGCATACGCATTTTTTGTCGAAATTTTGCATCACCGTTTCGCATAAATGCTGCTTGAATTTCGTTGATACAGCACTCAATTTCTTCATTCAAGGCATGAGTGATTGTAGGATTGTTGGCATAAACCTTAGATTTAAAAAAAAACCAAAGAAAAAAGTTCAACGGCGTTAAACCGCATGATCTGGGCGGCCAATTCTGATAACCAAAACGGGAAATTACAGGACCAGAAAATGACTCATGTAGTAATTGAATTATTCCTCGGGTTATATGGCATAATATGGCGCCGTCTTGTTGAAACCACATGTCGTCTACATTCATCATTTGTGGATTTTCTGAACCCTAAATGCGACAATTTTTGTCGATTAACTAAACTATCAAGATGAAGGAAAAGTGTTTTTGAATAACGAATTTCTTTTAATGAAAAAAGAATAACCACTAGGATTAACACATTTTAGTTTCAGAGACTTCTATTTATGAGCTAACTTGAATACAAAGTAAACATAATTTAAGTTGAAGCTATTTTCGCATTAGAACAATACATTGTAAAGAAACGTACACTAAAACACTGAAGAACAGAAATAAGACTCTATATTCACCAAAAGTGTACGTGCATCTTGTGCACGTGCACGGTCAGAATGCTTCGGACTCGCTACATACATGAAGCGCTTCTCTAATTGGCTGACGTTCTACCTGACTTCCACAATCAAGCAAATTTAATGGTAAGTCAGTCTGTCTTGTATTCTTTAGTTGTGTGTTGCAGTTTTACTTACTCGGCGTATAAAATGTTTTCTGTTCAAGAACTACCAGATATGGTGCTAATGTACGGAGAATATCAGTACAGTCTAAATGATGAGACTTGTCGTTTGTATGCGGTTCGTTAGCGTAACAGACCACAACCTAACAGTAGGACAATGGAAAAGGCACTTGAAAGGTTCGGGGATAGCGGGAATGTTCACCTGAGGTATGAAGGTCGTGGACGGCAAAGGCCGCAACATATTTTCGACAACGAAGAAAACATCATAAACTTCGTTGAGGAAGATCCAAGGCGTAGTACTCGTGACATTGGCCGAGAAGTGGGTGTACCTAACTGTATCGTGTGGCGTGTACTACGGGAACAATTATTACACCCCTATCATATACAAAGGGTTCAGGCATTATATAACAATGATTTTCAGCCACGTGGAATTTTGTCAGTAGTTTCGACATCAAATAGCATAAGATCCGGATTTTACAAACAAAGTGCTTTTTACGGATCAATGTTGTTTTACTAGAGGTGGCATACTAAATTTTCACAACATTCACTATTGATGTGATGCAAATCTTCACGTTATACTTCTTGCTTCCTGTTTTCAGTGAATGTTTGGTGTGGTGTTTTTGGTGACAGAATTTTGAACGTCGCTTGGAAGCATGTTCATTAGCATATGGAAACAACTTTGAACAATTTTTGTAGAGAATGAGAATAGATAAGTAATTCATTTTCGAACACAAAATTTAAATTTTTTCATTTTAAAACGTAATCTATTAGACCATCAGTTGCTTAATAAAAGTTACTCATTCGTGCCCTCTCACCCATTTCAAGGAATGCATTTATTTGAGAAACATCCTGTATTACATAAAGAAAACCGAATATAAAAAAAATATTAAAACTGTAGTTTAACCCGCTGCATTTAGTTTTCGCAATTGTCAAACACAAACCACATATTTTGTGCTAAAGACTAAAATATAGGAAAACTTGGTCTAAACAACAATACATTTGTATCATAAGAGTGCTTAAAAACGTAGGGGAAATACTCCATTCGCATTTCAACTGAATATCTTAAAAAACAAGATAGTGATTAAAAAAAATTTTTTGATACATTTTTGACTCCTTGCAACTGGAGAAAGAGGTGTCTAAATAGAAAACGGTGCAAGGCTAGTTCCATTGTTGTTGCTCAAAAAATCAGTTTTACTTTCCTAAATTCGCCATGGCTGCGTGCAAATGTTTACCTCATTGGTATAAGTAAAGTGTAGTATCGATATTATCGATAGTAGTATCGAATCAGAATCGGAAACGAAAAATTAAACATTACAATGGACCAGTTAAATAGTGAACACAAACGTATAGAAAATGTATAATTCCTTTTAATTAGATAACAAAAACTCCTTTTTATAATAAAAAAGGCCCCATAAATATTGTAATGTTAAAAATCCTGAGCTAAGGGGGCATAAAGAAATTTAAAAAATCGTAGAAATTAGGGAGAAGTTGCTATACTTTCTTACCTCATAAATTAGTAAAGGAATTAATAATAAATATAACGTATTAAGAAAAGGAAACACATCTGGGGCTCAGGGGGATAAAGAGCATAAAGAAAAAAATAGCGAAAATTAAGAAAGAGTTTGCTACACATGTATATTTCTTAAAATGATACTTTTATATATTTATAATTTGTAAGATTATAAAAGAAGACATATAGACAAGGCAAAATCGGCGGCTTCGTATGAAAAAATTAGTGGATTCGATTTTTTTGCATAATCACCTCCGTGAGATGTCCCTGAATGAGGATCAAAATGTTACCAACCGGTAACCTGGTCACAATTTTTTTAAACTATTTTTTTTTTAAACAAATTGCAAAAATAACTTGTTTTGCTCCGGAAAAAGTTATTTTAGGTATTTTGGGGTATTCTAAACAAAATAGTTGCAAATACTATGCTCCTAAAATTAACGGTTTCCGAGTTATAAACAATTTAATGTACGAAAAAATGCAAAAACGGTCATTTTCAAGACTCAAAAACAATAACAAAAAATCAAGTTTTTGATGTTACTAAAATTTAAAAGTAATCTTTAAACAAACCTTGACAAAATACGGAGGAGTTATTTGGTGTAATTACATTGCAAAGCGTATTATTTTACCTATTAACAATATACATTTTGACTAGCGCGCCGCGCCGCTCGGGCACTCCACTGTGCGCCGACCCCGTCTGCGCCTCACTTTTTCATATATCTCGACATATATTTTAAAATAAATAAAATATATAGAGTAAAACGTCTTAAACTTATGTTCTCTTTCTAGTGCCTGTGCGTCACTGGCTATCCCGTAACTCTTTTGTGTGTGCGCCAATGACGACGATTTTTTTGCTTTTACAAAATTTTGATATCGTTTATGGATTTCGAATAAAGGCATTTTTTATACATTAAATATAGGCAAACATTCCGATTTGTAAAAAATAATTTATAACTGCAGCCTCATAGCAGGGAATAATAATGAAAAAACGTCACATAAAAAAAATAACTACACATTTTTAGTATTAGTAGGTATTATCAATCAATAAAATAAAAATCAACACTAATATTTTAAATAAACAGTATCAACTAATAACGTAAGAAAGTCAACATTAACATTTTAAATAAACCTAAATTGATATTTGTAATCACATTAAAATAATATTATAGTAAATGCTCAAAGTTACTTCCTTGTTCTTAAACGCAAGCATTAGTTTTTCGAAAATTAAAATGAATTTTACCCAATAATTGTGCATTACCTCTCATAACACTAATTTCATGTTGTATTCTTTCCCATTATTCGTTTTCTGTATTTACTGAAAAGTTATAAACTGTGGTCCGCAACGCTCCCCAAAGGAAATAATTACATGGGTTTAGGTCCGGGGATCGAGGTGGTCATTTTAAAGGGGCATTATTTCCTACACCTATCCACCTGTTAGTATAGTAACCTCTAATAACTGGTCTTCTAATACTCTATTAACGGAACACTTTGAAAGACAACCTCTGCTGCTAAACGCCTTTTTTTACTTGAGGAATTTTTTCGACCCTTTCCAAAATTTGTTCCTCCAGCTGATTAGTTCCGGCCGTACATTATCCACGATTTAATGTTACAGTTAAAAGTTGTGATTTGGAATTCTTCGATTAAGAAAACTCAGCATATGTTCGAACAGTAGCACAACAATTTCCATCACAATAACCCAAAACTAATAACATAACAGTTTGTTCAGCAAAAGTATAAATTGCAATAAAAAACAAGGTAAACTAAAATTAAATCACAGCTAGCTTGATAATGAACCTTTTAATTATTGTTATGAATTTGTTTCTTTGTTATACGGCACCTCGTACTAGACTATTCTATTTATCTTAAACTACTTTTATATTATTGAATGTGTAAAAAATGCCAATTTTACTCGAAATCCATAAACGATATCAAAATTTTGTAAGAGGCAAAAAATCTTCTAAAATAGTGCTTATTTTTCTGTCGTCATTGACGCACACACAAAAAGTTACGGGATAGCCAGTGGCGCACAGGCACTAGAAAGAGAACATCCTGTATATGTATTATCACCAAATTCTATATTTACATTGCCCTTATATAAAAAAATATGCATATCTTTGAAGTTTCTAAGAAAAACAGTTTTCAAATTATTCGAAAAAAACTAAGTTATCTGTTTTATATTTAGAAGGCTATATCTCAGTAGGCGTGCATTTTTGTATATAGGTAAGTTAGGCTAAATAGTCTTATTAGGAACCTGTAGTCAAGCGTTGTCCATTCTTTTCAGGGACACCCTGTATAAATTTGAGAGAAAAAATAGCAAAAATTAGGACCGAGTCTGATACACATTTATAATTCGTACAATGATTTAAGAAGACATAATAAAACTCATACATTAAGGAAAGGAAAAATGTTCGAGGCTAAGGGGATTAAAAAGGCATACAAAATTTTAAAAAATTTTTTGAGAACGTGTCTGCTATACAATTATAAATTGTATAATAATATTCATATGTATGAGCTTGAAGAAATTTAAAGAAAAATAGTTAAAGTTGGACATTTATAATTTGTACAATGATAAAAGACATAATAAATACCATACGTTAAGGAAACTCAAAAGGTCCAAGAGGCTTATAAATATTTTGAAAAGTAATTTTTATTATCTAATTAAAAAGAGTTATAAATTTTCTTTCGTTATTCACCTATTCACTAGGTTGTTCACCATTTAACTGATGCACTGTTCAATATATTTCATTGTTATTCCGATTCTGTCTTCAGCCAAATATGATTTTATATAGATAAACATAAAAGTAAATATTTACAATACATAGATAGTTATAAGAAATTAAACTAATTTTATTGTTTCTTTACACACACCAGTGTACCTATAGGAACTAATTATATAACTCGTTTCTAGGGTATTTTCAAAAGATTTTCATAACTTTCGCTGAAGTTAAATTTTAATTTATTTTACCTACAGGTTTTAGAGGTGCCACGTGTTAAGAAAAGAAATTATACAGGGATGGCCAAAAGTACGGAATAAAATTCATATCTTTTGAATGAGTTAATTTTTTTTTTAAAACGCCGAAACACGTTAACTGATTTTAATTTTTCCCCATCTTTCGGTTATATAATAATTAATTTTTCTTCAACCCCCTAACCCCCAGCTACCCCTACTTTTTTCTTTCAAATGGAAACATAAGGCATGAGGGGGCTCGTTGAAAAGCTTATAGAAAACCGAATCCAGCCATACCAAATAAACAAGTTTTATTTTTTCAATAGCAAGGTTTTTAGAGTTGTATAAACTGCCGCACGCTACCTGGATTTCCGAACATTTGACCTGATACCTGCTCTAGCTGTGATTTTCTTGTTTATTTGGTATGGTTGGATTCGGTTTTCTATAAGCTTTTCAACGAGCCCCCTCATGCCTTATGTTTCCATTTGAAAAAAAAGTAGAGGTAGCTGGGGGTTAGGGGGTTGAAGAAAAATTAATTATTATATAACCGAAAGACGGGAAAAAATCAAAATCAGTTAACGTGTTTCGGCGTTTTTTAAAAAAATTAACTCATTCAAAAGATATGAATTTTATTCCGTACTTTTGACCATCCCTGTATCCTATAGCTAATACGATGCGAAAATGTTAATGTTAAAAATGTTGTCACCGCTGCTTTCCAAAATTCAGTAAAAAACAGAGTGTTCCATTTAAAAATACATAACTTTGACATGGTAGGCTTTTCCTGGACACCCTATAAATTTGAAAATAGTATTTTTAAAATGTAGCTTTAATCAACCTACACATACCCACCTAAACAGGTTTCTATAACATTTGCCGTCTGGTCCCTAGCGACCGAGGTGGCCCACCCTGTATATTATATAATGCATTATATTTTAAAGTGGGAATAATACAACAGGTCAGGGTAACAAGTTGAGATTTCAAGACAAGTACATAAGAAAAGAAACCTATCACGGTCTACGCACAATGAAAACTAAAAATGCTCTAATGAGCGAAATTCGAATCGACAGTCCAGAAATCAGAACCATGGAAACTAACCTCAAGAAAAACAAACGAACATTGACTAATGCAGTTAAATTGATTGTCAGGATAATTTGGCAACTATTAAAATAAAGAGTGTCCCAAAATTCACGCAAGAGATAATTTTGATAGAAAACAGGTTTTTAATTAAAAATTGTAAATTTTTTATTCATTTATAAAGTATACAGTTACATTTATAGACACTCTTTTGAGAAATTCTACATTAGCATCTGGAATTCCTGACCATGATGACTACCCTTTAAAAGGATTAAAGGTAAATTAGATATTACTTATATAAACTTTAGAAATTTTAAGAAATTATTTTAAGATTAAAAGTTCATCTAAATATAGGATCGTAACGACAAATAAGGATTACACAGGCACACAAAAAAAATCATATACTTTTTAATAGGGTATGGTAACCTCTGTATTTTGACCCGCAGAAGACGATGGAGCCATCAGAATTATTTCATCATGTCAGGATTTTTCCCTAACCTCAAAAAATACTTAAAATCAGTGGAAATCTGAACATTTTGTTAAAATAGTTAAGATTTTGATTTCATATTATCGTACCCCTCTTTTAGCGTTACTGAATGTGCTATAGGAATAGAAGCGAACTTATTCGTATTATGGAGAAGCACCCCCTTTAGACTTCGTTTAGAGGAATCTATAAACAGTCTCCATTCTTCTCTCTTATAAAAATCTGTATTCAGTTCATTCATCAGTCCTTGAATGAATCTGCAATATACTAATGAATGTTTTTCCCAAGAAAAATATTTTTGAATCTCGTATTTCTGTTTTTGGTATACAGTACTCTTTGTAGGTACCTTTAGTTGGATTGATTTTTTTTTCTTCATGTGCTGTGCAGCTAAATATTCAACAACATCATTAGGTAAATTCAGATTACGAATAAGGTAATTACATATGTAAGTTTTTGTTGTGCCCATTGTTCTGGTGTTCTTTTTAGCATTTATAATATAATCCTCATCACTACCACCGCGTTCGCTATTATTTCCACTTTCACTATCAGATTCCTCTCCTTGTCGCATATACTTAAATTGGGTTAAAATAAAAACTTTTCATTCGTGCACTTTTTTCTCTAAAACGCATTCTTGAGGAGTTATACGCATTTTAATGTTCAAAATTGGTTAAAAACAACTGTAACTCCACGAGCAGGCATTTTAGAGAAAAAGGTGCAGAAACAAAAAGTTTTTATTAACCTATTAACACGTCTGTGTAACACGTTTTTAATTTCGAAATCTGAACTATTTTAACAAAATTGGTTAATAAGATATATTTAATTGAATCTTAGCACAGCCTAATAGATATTCAAATATACAGGGTGTTCTCAAAGTTGAGTCATTTATTTTAACAGCTGGTAGAATTCATAAAAAAAAACCGATATACCAAAAATCGTTTATATAAAAATGGCCAAATAAAGCAATTATTAACAATTATTTACAAAAATTTAAATGTAAAAACTGTAATACAAACCTGATTTATTGTCATTTTCGACCACTCCGTTGTAAAAACATAAATTGTTTGTTTAATACTGGTACTGAGTATGTCTCTTTTTTTGTAGTTGCACGGTTTTGAATACGCTTTTTGATTTGACGGTACTAAATAATTCGTACAATAGTGCGTGATATTATTTTTGATTTGTGGGTGTTTTGTGCAATAAAAATGGCACATGTTTACAATGTGAACACAATGAACTAGTGGACATAATATTATCTTACAGGGTGTGTCAACAAAGTGCAGCCGCGGCATGTCGCTTTATGCGGAAAGGTTTCCTTTACAAAATCATCCGGCTTCGTGGATGTTCGTAAATTTAGTTATAACATCCACAGATCAAAAATAATATCACGCACTACTGTACGAATTATTTAGCACTGTCAAATCGAAAAGCGTACTCAAAACCGTGCAACTACAAAAAAAAAAGACATACCCAGTATCAGTAGTAAACAAACAATTTATGTTTTTACAACGGAGTGGTCGAAAATGACAATAAATCAGGTTTGTATTAGAAAGTTTTTAAATTGAAACTTTTTTAAATAATTGTTAATAATTGCTTTATTTGACCACTTTTATATAAACGATTTTTCGTAAATTCACTTCTTTTTATGAGTTCTACCAGCTGTTAAAATAAATGACTCAACTTTGAGAACACCCTGTATTAAGGATACTGTTAATCTGCGAAGGGCAAAAATCATTGATTTAGTATACTATTGGATCTAGATTTGACAAAAATATATTTTTTTTCTGTGACGGGATAAACTTTGACATAATTATTATCTCTCTTGACAGGTAACGAAATGCCGCTATTTATGAAATTACTTTTTCCCCGGAAAAAAAATGAATACTTCTTTCTCGGATAAGAACACGGAGATATTTAATGTTCTACAAGTTTGAATAAACAAATGATGTTTCTCTGTTACAAGTGCATTTTAAATATTTTTTTAAATGATATTTAGAGTTTTTATATAATATTTCGTTCGATTATTTTCTTTAAAGCAGCGGTTTCAATAGCGGAACTACACCAAACACAAATCAAAGAAGGAATTTGGGTATGCATTAAAAATTCAGTCACAAGTGCTCGCCTGACCCCCATAATTCATGCATGCTATATAACCGCGCCCACGCGAGACTTTGCACTAATTGACGTTTAAACTTTTCATTGAAGATGTGGAGACACACAATAATTAGCGTGATTATGGTGATCTGTGTCACTGGTCACACCCCCAACCCTAGATCAGGGGATGAACTGGTGACAACTGTTCTGAACAATTGTGTAGAAATGACATGTATAAAACAAAATGTACTGTTGTATCTAAATAATTTATTGAATCTTCAAAGTGATGCAAGAAATGCGAAGGTTGTTTAATTGTTGTCTAAAAATGCTGTGAATTTTATTGAGTTTTCTCATTACAGAATATTGATACATCAATAATGAAAAGGGTGGCTAAAGTTTTGCAAACGTACAGAATAAAGTTTCAGTTACCCACCGCAGTTTTTGACCAAACAGAGGTGGTTTATGATCCAAGATCTGGTTGGGACATATCATCACCTGCAGAAGAATGTAAGTACTTAAACTTATAGAAAATAATATTCTATAGAAATAATGTTATAATTTATTTTCAGCTCGAGTGATAGGATTGAAGAAAAAATTATTGTTTCCACTTCTTCTATTATTAAAACTCAAAATGAAGCTACTGATGCCAATATTTGTTGCTATTATTGGACTGAAAGCTATGAAAGCCTTAGTGTTGAGTAAATTGGCTATTATTATAGTTGTTGGATTTATAGCCTATCAGTTATTGGGTAAAGCCGGTAAGTATCCATTATTTTGTTTATAATAAGGAAATGGAGGTTACATCGTAAAAGGCGTGTTCTAAATTCGGGTAACTTCTTTCAGAAAAAAAATTTGCACTTTTTATTTACATATTCATAATTTTTTACTTATGTCTGTTGTTAGTATGATTTATCGGTATTATCTTAAAATAGAACATTCTGCATTTTGTAATTAGTTAGATAGAAAGGGCGCGTCAAAACTATTTCTTATATGGGTTCATGTTATACAGGGTGTTTTTAAAAGAAGTAGCACAAATGATACAAGTTAATCTATATCTAAATAGAAGACGTTTTGACTAAAAATTACCTTAGTAAAATGTTCATTCCTTAAGGTATACGGTCACTCTAAGTTTCCAAAAAAATATGGAATAGCGGCTGTAATTTGAAAATCAAAAAAGGTATAACAGTCAAATTTTACATAAATTTTCTACTAATGCACATGCAATTTCTTAACAATTTTTCGACACTTTCTGCTCCTTAGAAGGGGTTGAAATAAGCATCCCCTCACTTATTTTTTGCTACAACTTTTCTGTTTGAGAAAAATTGAATATTAAAAAATACGTTTCAGATAGCCTGGTTTATTTCAAAACTTTTATCTCTCTCACTTGTTTGCCTTAAAAACAAACCGTTAATAAAAAAAAAAAATAAATTCAATATCATTCGCATTACAACTCATACGATTGCAACTGGGAAATATTTTAGTAGGCGATTGTCATGCTAAGTTCTGTCATTAGATCTTTTGTAACTTTTACGAGTGCTCCCCTCGCGATGAGGCTGTATATTCCTAGTTTCTCGAAGATCACTGTCTATTTCTGAAAAAGGCTGTCTGTGGGGAACTGGACGATTTGGATGCCTCTGGTGGTACTTACATTATTCTTGCTGCGGCACAGTTTTTCCTACATTCAAAAAATATAATACATACAGCATGCCACTCTTATCATTGTCATTGTCATGTAGTAAAGTTATTTGCCATAATTCTTCCCAAGTTATAGTACAACAAAATTAAATTATTGCGTAGCAGATGAAAGGAAGCACTTGCAAAAGTCACAAATGTTCTAATGACAGAAATTAGCCTGACACCCGTCAATTTTTTAGTTCCAATCGTGCTAGTTGTAATGCGAATGATAATGAATTTAATTTTTCTGTTAATAAACGATTAGTTTTAAAGCAAAAAAGTGAGAAAAGCAATTTTTTTAAATAAACCAGGCTATCTGATACGTATTTTTGAATATTCAATTTTTGTCAAGCAAAAAAGTTGCAGCAAAAAAGAAATAAGAAGTTTTTGAAAAATTACTGAGAAATTGCATATGCATTAGTAGAAAATTTGTCTAAAATGTGAACATTTTAATAAGGTAATGTTTATGCACAACTTATTCTTTTTAGCTATAGATTCATCTGTACCATTTTGAAAACACCCTGTATATATAGCAGTTATGACAACAATCGTTTGTATGAATTCTAATGGCGTCATTGTAATAACAATATTTTTTTAAAATCAGACAGATTTACGAAAGTCAATTTTTAAAACGCCATATCTAATTTTTACAAAATTTATATCGAAATTCTAGACAAAATTAGTGCCTGGGCAAAAAATCGGTATACAGATCCGAATCGATTTTATATTTGAATCGATTGATAGATTCGCAGAATCGGAGTATCGAATCGATGGATCGATTCAAAAATCCAAACAAATTAATTCAAATCCATATATCGACTGCACAGGATTAATCGATTCGATTCGATTCAAATATAATAATTACACATTTCTATTAATTGAAACGAATCGATTTTTTTGACGAATCGCACAGGTCTACTACTAGCGCTATCATTTACTGTAAAAAATTTTCATTTACTATAAAATCATATACCCGAACGTGTTAAATAATATAGGTACAGGGTGGTACATTAGTGTGAGAAAGAAAAATAACTCCCTTGTTATTCATAATACAGAAAAAAGGGTCGGAAAGTCCCCATGGTTCATCGGCAGTTACGTGAGAGCCATAAAGAAATCCGTGCGATAGAGAAAGATGGCTATAATGAAGGCGTCTAATAGTCACCGCCCATTTCGCCCTTCCACAAATAAGAAGTGGATTTTATTTGTGGAAGGGCAAAATGGGCGGGGACTATTAGACGCCTTCATTATAGCCATTTTTCTCTATCGCACGGATTTCTATGACTTACTTTATCGCTCTCATGTAACGGCCGATGAACCATGGGGACTTTCCGACCCTGTATAAAAGTTGTACAGAGTTAAAAAACCTAAAGGACAAAATTAATTTGACATACACAGGGTGATGAGTAAAAACGGGACACGCCAATTATTACATTTTTAAATGGAACACCCTGTATATTTTTTAACATGGATTTCTGAGAAAATTCTATATATGGCAATATAATCAGTGTAACATTTTAGTGGGGGATTGCCATGTTATTCTTCGAATTTAGGAAAGAAACATGGAAAAAATGGTAAAAAACACTTGTAGTTATAGGCAATTTTTTATAATACCATCATTTTAAGAACGTTTAAAGTAGATTTTATAAAAATTTTTCAAATGGAACACGCTGTACTTTGTTGTTCTATTTTATTCACATCAGTCGACTTCAACATTTTTAAATATATTCTACACCTAAAGTTGTTAGTTTTTAAGATATAACAACATTTCTGGAAAAAACAAAATTTTATTATTTTCGGTCACACGAAATGACTGGAAAAAACTGTCACACTGTGTCAACTTGTCAGTTCATAATTTATCATTCCATTTTGAGTGAATTTTATTAGTTAATATTTATTTATGGTATTCTATAAAATAATAAAAATTAAGTTTTTTTCAGAAATGTTGCTATATCTTAAAAACTAACAATTTTAGAACATGCTTAATAAAAGTTGAAGTGGACCGATATGTGCATAAAATAGAACAAGCATCCTGTATTTTAATACAGGGTGCTCCATTTGAAAAATTTTAGAAAATCAAGTTTAAACTTTCTAAAAATGATATTATATATACGTATTATAAAAAATGCCCTGTATAAAATATCGATATTATGTAATATAGATTTTGTCTAACATTTGCCTATAACTCTGTCTAATTATTTTGTTCCAAGTGTTAGTAGCTGAAAGTTAATACAACTTCTTCGAGGTCATGTTTTTTCCAAAATTCGAAGAATTTTCTACATAACTTGGCAACCCCGCACTAAAATGATAAACTATTTATATTGCCATATATAGAATTTTTTCGGAAATCCATATGTTTAAAAATATATGTTCCAATTAAAAATTGTAATATTTGGCGTGTCCCGTTTTTACTCATCTCCCTGTATGTATCAAATTAATTTTGTAATTTAGGTTTCTTGAGTCTGTATAACTTTTATATAAACTTTTTTCTGTAGTATGAGGAACAAGGGAGTTATTTTACTTTCTCACACTAATGGCCCACCCAGTAAAATCAGTAGAGCGTACTAGTGCTACAATTTTCGTCGGGCTCTAAATTTTGGAGTGGTCTAAAAAAACCGAAATCTGGAACGAGATCAAAGGAGCAGACGTTAAGATGACCAACTGTGTGTATGATCTGTGGTAATAGACACTGATTCGTCACTGTCATTGACTGGCAGAATTTATTGAAATAAAAACCAAGATTTTTTTATAGAATAATTAAAAAAAAGCTAAAGGAAAAGGTTCAGTACGTAGATTTGTTGAAAGAATAAAATATTGAAAACCATAAGTTTGCTTTAAAAAAGTAATCGCTCATGTCATAACTCCTACATAGATCATTTTGTATACATAAAATCATTATAAAAACTACTCGAATAAAAATAAAGACAATGTTTTTCCACAAAAAAAAACTTATCGAATATTTATTTATTTATGGCATTCACATTTTGGTCATAATGAAATGGGTTACATATTTACAGTATGTAATGTTACCATTTCTGTACCCTTTTATAGCAGTATCTAAGATCAAAAGTAATCGAAATTGTCCAGAATAAACAATTTAGTAATGGTTTTGTTAAATTTTAAAGTGAGTAAAAAACAAATTCGCTCAATGTGCAGGTTGTAAAGAACGTCACAAAAAAAATTCGCCATGGTTCATTTGAAGAATTAAACTGTTGAGGATATGATGTTTACTCTGAATTTTGTAAACGCTGAAAAAAATATGAACCACGTAGTTACTTATTACGATGTAGATACATATGAAGGGTACGAATTCGTTCGTTACTCTTCACTCGCTCTCTGTATATTCGACTTTAAATACGTTTTTTCTTTCATTTCTTTAACGTTATATTTTATGACAAATTTATAAAATTTCATTTTAAAAATTTATGTTATATTAAGTACACGAATATCAATTTTCAGGAATGCCAATGCCTTTGTCAATGATGCCTGCTCCTGCTGAACCCCCGGCGCCACTGTATGGGGCACCAAATCCATCTACTGCTCCACCAAGTTCATACGAACCCGGATGGGAACCGAATCAAGGTGGGCCGTACCAAAGAGTTTGGTCTGTTTCCAACGGTGATCCTCAAAGTTTAGCATATTCAGCATATTATCCAGGAACGTCTTCGTCAAGCTCATCAACTAGTGGTCCCCTAACACTGTAATATTTATTTATTTATTTATTGTATTATTTATTTTTGTATAAATTTTTCCATACCAAAAATAATTCGTTTCTGTTCTTTTATTGACTTTTCTAGGGGACAAAAAAAAAGTGCAATTAACATCCAACGAGAAATTCATGCAAAAACTTCAAGGTTTTGAATTTTTTTATATTTCAATGTAAGTAATTCTCTGTTTCAATTGCTTGCAGTGACGTAAATATAGGTCATTCTTTTTCTTTACAATGTGTTACAGGGTTGGCTGTAGGTCGGGTTCTCTTCAGAGACGCATTTTCCTAAGGGCGTAGGGGGCGATTACCCGTTTTTTTTGCTGACATTTTACGTTTAGTAACAGGCACAGGGGGGGCATATTCCCCCAGGTCGCATAATTTTGAAATTCGTCCCTGGTTCTCTTTTATGTAATTTTATTCAAAGAAAAAGTGATACATCCTTTGCCTTCTGATAACTACACTCTTTACATTATCTATAAGCATATATACAGTGTGGCCTTTGATCTTGTCAAAAAAATGCTGAAGAACGTGGATTTTGTTTGTGAGGGGAATGTTATTTATTATATGTTAATCGTTAAAATAAAGACACCCGGTTCGTATGTACTCTTTACTGTAAGAACATCTAAACATTAATATTTTGTAACAGTAAAAAACAACTTGACAGTAGTTGTCAAAATTACTTCATTTTTTTATCTCAGGTCAAGCGATGACGAAGATTCACGTCCGTTTCAAAATCTATCATTGACCACCTGCACTGCCATCGCCTTTGCAGTATCTGGGCATGCTTTTTCCACATCCTCCCCGGCGGCCGTGACTTTCAAAGATGAAGAAGTTGAATCGGTCTTCTTAGGAGCGTCCTATTTGGCAACATAACTTCGCATGCTCGTATTTTTTCATCTCTTCCAGGAAATACTTGGGTTATCCTAACCATCTTCCATACTAAACGAGGTACGTTTTGGTCATGCAAAAGAGCTATGTCACCGATTTTAAAAGATGAAAATTTCACGTTAAGATTGGTATGTGCAGATCTCAACGACTGAAGATAATCGGTGGACCATCTATCCCAAAATTTTCTAACAAGCTTGTTTCGTAGCTTCCACTGTTTAAGAACATCATCAAATTTCTGGTTCTGCGTAACTTGTATCCAATATTCTTCACTTTCTTGTAGTTCTTTTGCTTTTACATCTTTATCAATGAATAATTCTTCAGATTTCTTTAAACGTTTTATAAATCTTAATACGTAAGAAGTTTATCCTACATATTTTTCCAAAATCACTATAATGTTCTATTGGAAATATTGTTTCTTGATCCTCCTTAATATTTGCCTGCACTGCAAAGACTGATACTTGCTCTGATGACACGTCACTATCGTTGAGGGGCCATTCGCTTCTATCTTTTACTAACCAGGTAGGTCCGTATTGCCAAAACTTTAATTCGGTAAGAACCCTTACTTTAAGTCCTCTTGTCAATAAGTCTGCTGGATTTTCGGACCCAGGGCAGTGTCTCCACTCGCCAACAGTCAAATTTTGAATTTCGGTTACACGATGACAAACGTAAGGTTTCCATTTGCTGGCTCTTCCATTTATCTAGTGTAACGTAATTTTGGAGTCTGTCCATAGAATACAAGATTTCACGTCAATATTCAGACTTTTTAAGATGAAATTCTGCAATATAGCTGCACAAAGAGCTGCTGTCAACTCTAGTCTGGGTAGTGTTAATGTTTTATCACCCCTTTTATTTATCGGAGCCACTCTGCTTTTTGCTACTAAAATGTTGCACATTACTTCGTTATTTTCAATAAGCGTTTTAAGATATGCCACTGCTCCATAAGCGAGAGGACTAGCATCGGAAAATACAAGAAGTTCGGTGAAAGAGGCCGAAGCTTTCTGACCTAAACATCTCGGTATTGTCAGATTCCATAGTTCCTGTATTTAATGAACCCATTCATTCGATTCACTAGCAAGATTTTCCGGTAGCACATCATTCCAGCCNGCAGTGTTAATGTTTTATCACCCCTTTTATTTATCGGAGCCACTCTGCTTTTTGCTACTAAAATGTTGCACATTACTTCGTTATTTTCAATAAGCGTTTTAAGATATGCCACTGCTCCATAAGCGAGAGGACTAGCATCGGAAAATACAAGAAGTTCGGTGAAAGAGGCCGAAGCTTTCTGACCTAAACATCTCGGTATTGTCAGATTCCATAGTTCCTGTATTTCATGAACCCATTCATTCCATTCACTAGCCAGATTTTCCGGTAGCACATCATTCCAGCCGTAGTTTAATTTCCAAACTTTCTGCAGTAGAATTTGTGCTCTTATGACATATGGTGATGCAAAACCCAGTGGGTCATATACCTTGGACACTATCTTCAGCATATTACGTTTCGATGCAGGTCCTTGTCCGCCATCTTGAATACATTTCAATATAGAAGTATCTATTCCTATTTCATCCAGATCGACGTACCATAGGAGTCCAAGTACCTTTTGTGTCATCTTATTAGCCGTTAGTTCATCTTCGATTTTTTCTCTTAACTTAATATCGTTAGTCGACCATTTCCGTAGGTTCATATTAGCTTTAGACATAATTAGCTTTCCTTGCTCATAAATTTGACAAGCAGAATCTATATTGTCAGCTGATACTATTAAATCATCGACGTAAAATGATTTCAAGAGAATGTCAGTCACTTGTTGGAATTCTACAGGTTGTGTCGTTAAATGCTTTCTCAAAGTTGCCGCTAGTAGGAAGGGACTGCATGTAACGCCAAACGTTACTCTTTTTATACGATACTCTGTCAGATTCGGTAATTTTGACGAGTCAGTCACGGGTTTATCATACCACAGAAATCTGTGATAATTGCGTTCGGATTCATTTAATTCAATTTGCAGGAAAGCCTTCTCTATATCAGCTGTAAGGCCTATTTTTCCAATTCTAAAATTGATTAAAATCGTTAGAAGCAATGGTACTAAATTTTCACCGGTGCACAACAAATTATTCAATGACGGAAAACCTGGCATATGTGCAGAGGCGTCATATACACAACGAATACGAGTTGTCTCCTTGTCATCTCTATAGACAGGTCTATGAGGCATATAGTAAGCTTCGCTTTCTTTAGTTAATAAGGGTGCTAGTTCTGAACAGTCATTTTTCAAATATTCTCCTATCACTCGGTCATATTCTAGCAATGTCTCATTTCGGATAAGCTTCTTTGTTAAGGATTTGACTCGGTTCAAAGCACCAATATAATTCGAATCAAGTTTCCTAACTTTTTCGATCCACGGTAAGTTTACTGTATAACGACTATTCTTGAATGTTATATTTTCATTTATAAATTTGTCTGTATTAAATTCTATTTGATCTGCAGGTTGCTTTATTCCGATAGTCTCCAATTCCCAGAATTTCCTTATGTCAAAGTCACTATTATCACATGAATCAACCTGTACATGAAGTATGTTGACCATATTTGCTGCAAATGTATACTCGTTACTACCACCATGAATACTCCAGCCAAATTTCGTATTAGTAGCCGTTAATGACGCTGAGAGCCTTTTCACTTCTCCAGTCACAATCTTCCAATACGCGTCAGCTCCTACTAATATGGATATGCCTGGTAAAACATCCGAATCACTTGAACACGCGTCTGCCAGCTGATGCTGTCTACTGAAATTTTGCAGAAGGGGATCCGACGTAGAAGGTGCTACCAGGGAGTCAAAACAAATTTCCGGTACCTCCACAGCGCTCATTTTGATGGGTTCACTATTGTCATAAAGCCCTTGCAACGTCAAGGCCACTCGTTTGCACAACCGCGCGGGTGCCATTTCATTTTTTCCGAATGTCATAATCGCGATTTTGTGAGTTCCTATCACCGGTAAGTTCAGTTCCCTCGACACGCACTCTTTTATAAAAGTCAGCTGACTGCCTCCGTCTAAGACTAACCGTACAGATACATCATCACCTTTATTCTCGCAGCTTCCCAACACGATACGTGCACAAGCAGTCTGAAGGTAAATATTGCTCACTTTTTCATTAGTAAACAAATTGGTAGACGTAGATGCTGTATATTCGTTAACGTTACTTGGTACATCGTTGGTGCTGCTCTTTGCTTTTATATAGTTCGGGTCACACATAGAAGTAGCATGTTTATTTTTACATTTTGAACATACTATCTTTGTTCGACAGACACGAGAATTATGGTTTGCTTTTGTGCACCTAAAACACCGATTATTCGCTTTTAAAATGTCCTTTTTTCGTTGTAAAGTCAAAGTTCCGTCACAGTTCACACTAGCATGTTCTTTAGATTTACAAAACAGACATTGTTCATTAATGGCTGT